TGGGCAAGGGGCAGAGCCAGCAATCGGAGGGGTCTGGGGGTCCCCTGCCCAGGCCTGACGCCTGGGCCAGAGGCATCAGGCCTGGGCTGGGGGCAGAACCAGTGATGGGGGGAAATGAGGGTCCCCTGCCCAGGCCTGACACCTCTGTCAGAAGCTTCAGGCCTGGGCAAGGGGCCGATCCTGCGATTGGAGGGTGATGGGGGTCAACGCCTGAGGGCTCCCAGTATGTGAGAGGGGGCAGGCTGGGCTGAGGGACACTCGCCCCCCCCCCCCACCCAGTGCACGAATTTCATGCACCGGGCCCCTAGTGTTAACGTAAAAAGCCATTGAAACCTGTAAGGAATTTTTGTGAGTTTATTTGAGCCAAACTGTTAATATATGCCGGGAGGCAGAATCTCAATAAATTGTGATAATGCTCTGGAGAATGGCGGGTTACATCTGTATTTATACATTGCAATCAAAGGAAAGGGACATAGGTGGGTTACATGATATCCATTGGTGATATACTAGAGAGGTGGGAGAAAGCAAAGTGGGGAAACCCCTGGGATTGGATAAAAAGTAAAATGATAGACACACACTTAGGTGGGTGCAGGAAAAATTAACATGATAATGAAGGAATTTGTGCTATCTGTCATGGCACCCAGCACATTAGGTTGTGCCCCAAGGGGTCCAGAAAAAGGGAAGTTACAACTTACCCGGACATTTCAAAGGGTATGTTATTATAGACTAGAGGCCTGGTGCACAAAATTCATGCATGGAGGGGAGGTTCCCTAAGCCCAGCCTGCACCTTCTCCAATTGGGGACCCCTTGGGGGATGTCCGACATCCCTCTCACAATCTGGGACTCCTGGCTCCTAACTACTCACCTGCCTGCCTGCCTGATAGCCCCTAACTGCCTCTGCCTGCCTGCCTGATTGCCCCTAACTGCCCTCCCCTGCCGGCCTGGTTGCCCTCAACTGCCCTCCCCTGCTGGTCTGATCTCGCCCCCAACGGCCCTCCCCTGCTGGCCTAATCCCACCCCCAACTGCCCTCCTCTGCTGGTCAATTTGGTTCTGATTGGTTAGTTTCTATGCCAGTCAGCATCAGAAGCTCTGCCTCCTAGGCAGCCATTGGCTCCCCACAACACCCAGATTTGGATCTGATTGGTCGGTGTCTATGCCAGTCAGCATGAGAAGCTCTGCCTCCTAGGTAGCCATTTGTTCTTCACAGCACCCACATTTGGTTCTGATTGGTTGATTCTTATGCCAGTCAGCATCTCCGGGCCTATCTCTGGGCCTGATCAGAGAGGCAGGGCTGAACAGCAGCCCCTACTTGTCAGGGAAAGAAAGAAAAGCCAGGCTGCTGGCAAGCTCAGAAAGAAAGAGGGAGAGAAAGAGAGAGGCAAGTACTGATCAACAGCTGCCACTGAGGCTGTGGATCAGACCCTACCTCTCTCTCTGGGTCTCAAACCCCTGGGCAGTCAGTGCTAGGTTGCCAGGTTGCAATGGGGTAGTCAGTGATGGGTCGCACTGACTGAAGGACTTCCAGGTTGGTCAGCCTTCAGTCGTGATCAGTTGTTACAACCCTGGCCTTTTATATATTAGGATGCAAAAAGATAGACTCAGTTAAGGTAAAGGTTGACCTTGTCAGTGAAGATACTGACCTAGGATTTAATTACCGACCATAATTGCTTTTAGTTAAAGTTTAATTTCAGACCATCCTTTGTGATTACTTTAGGTCTCTGAGTTTGCAAGACTGCCATGCAGGCCTTCCCTGAGCTTGTCAGGTTAGCATGTGGCCCCTTTTGTCCACAACAATTTTATCTTCCTTTTCATGTGATGAATGGTAAATGATGCCTTATAATTCCTGGAATCCACAGATAAGTCATTCTTTGGTCTTTCCTGATAAAACTGTTCCATTTCCTTTATTTTTTTTCTTTTAGACATTAGTTTTTAATATGTGTTAATAAGCTATCTACTCTCCTTGCTCCCTCCCCCACTGGTTCTCCACATCTTCTGAAGTTGTAGAGCCAAGAATTGGTGCCTATTATCACAGCCAGAATAGGTGCATACAGAGACTTCTGGGGAATCAGGAAAAGACAGTCAGTCTGACTGAGAATCATGCCAGTAGAGACATGGCCCACAAAGGGAAATAATGCAACTCTGTAGTTTGGGTAACATCAAATGAGCTTGGAGAATTGCACTATTTGTATGAATAACATACATAATTACAAACTTTTCAGATTCTTTCAGAAAATTACATCAGCCACTCACAGCAGGGAGGTTTATGCCTCCCACTCATTCATATGTCACCTCAATGTAAGCTAGCTCTCATATTGGTCACATAAAACAACCACAGTGGTTTCCATTCCCAGGTGGGTGATAGTTTGTTGGAGAGAATCAATGTTGTAGTCTCCATCCCCCAATTTTATTTTCATTAAGCAAGTAGGCAGAGTCTAATTTAGCAACGAAAACAATTTCTGGCCCATAGCCCTCAGGATTGTTTTACTTTTGGACTGGCCATTTATTTATTTAACCAACATATGTAGTGTTACTTATGTGCCAGGTACTTTTCTAAATGCTTTGTAAATATTAATTTATGTAATCTTCATGAAAATCCCAGGAGGTAGTTAAGCTATCTAATAATAGACAAACATGGTAATTAACCGTAACTTCGCTACCCTTCCCATTGGCTAATCAGTGAGATATGCAAATTAACTGCCAACCAAGATGGCGGCTGGCAGCCAGGCAACTGAAGCAAACAGGACGCTTGCTTGCTCCAGTGAAGGAGGAAGCCAAAGTTCCCCGCCTGCTGCTGCCAGTCTCTGAGCTTGCACTCTAAGAAACTATGTTGCAAATATAGAAGCTAAACAAAACCCAGAAACCTGCTTTCAGCCAGCCGGGATCTCAGAGCTGGAGTTGCAACAAAGTTTCAAATACAGAAGGTAAACAAAGCCCAGAAACCTGCTTTCAGCATCCGAGGTCTCAGAGCTGGAGCCGAGCCTCAGAGCTAAAGCTGGCTCTGAGCTCCAGTGACAGCCATAGAAGGTAAATAAATCCCAGAATAAAAAAGAAAAAAGAAAAAAAAGAGAGGTTGGGAGCGTCAGTCACCCGCCAGCCTGGAAATGGCCCTCAGCACCTCACCCAGACTGGCCAGGCACCCCAGTGGGGACCCCCACCCTGAAGGGGGTGTGACCAGCTACAAACAGCCATCATCCCCTCATCCAGGCTGGCCAGGCACCCAAGCGGGACCCACACCCTGATCCGGGACACCCTTCAGGGCAAACCAACCAGCCCCCACCCATGCACCAGGCCTCTATCCTATATAGTAAAAGGGTAATATGCCTCCCAGCACTGGGATCAGTGGAGCCGCGAGGCCTCCCGAATCCGGGATCAGCGGAGCCGTGAGGCCTCACGCCCAGGATCAGCAGAGCCGCAAGGCCTCCTAGCACCGGGATCAGCTGAGCAGCGAGGCCTCCTGGCCCCGGTGTCAAATGGAGCAGCGAGGTCTCCCAGCACCAGGATCAGCGGAGCAGCGAGGCCTCCTGGCCCCTGGAGCAGCGTGACAGGGAGCAGCACCCAAACCCCCTTATAGCCCTGCAGCTCTCTGTGTGACGGGGGGGGGGGGGGACCACAACCTCCCTATTTGCCCTGCTCTGTTCCTGACAGGGGACAGCGCCCCAAACCCCTGATTGGCCCTGCTCTGTGCCTGATAGGGGGGAGCTCCCCAACCCCCTGATCGGCTCTGCTCTGTGTGTGACGGGGTGGAGCAGCAACCTCCCCATCGGCCCTGCCCTGAGTGTGACGGGGGGAGTGCCCCAACCCCCTGATCGGCCCTGCTCTGTGTGTGACAGGGGGCGGTGCCCCAACTCCCCTATCGGCCCTACTCTGTGCATGGCAGGGGTGGCACCACAACCCCCTGATCCGCCCTGCTCTGTGCGTGACAGGGGGTGGCGCCACAACCTCCCCATTGACCCTGCCTTGACTGTGACAGGGGGCAGTGCCCCAATCCCCCAATTGGCCCTACCCTGAGTGTGACTGAGGGTGGCATCGCAACCTCCTGATCCGCCCTGCTCTGTACATGACAGGGGGCAGCGCCCCAACTCCCCAATCGGCCCTGCTCTGAGCCCAACCACGGACTGGGGGGCAGGCACCTAGGGATTTGGCCTGCCCTCTGCTACCCGGGAGCAAGCCTAAGCCAGCAGGTTGTTATCTCCCGAGGGGTCCCAGACTGTGAGAGGGCACAAGTGGGGCTGAGGGATAGCGCCCCCCCTCCCGGCGCCAGTGCACAAATTTTTGTGCACCGGGCCTCTAGTTAATAATAGCCTCATTTCACAGGATAAGTAATGTGTAGCACAGATTTAATAAATAACTTGCCTGAGGTCACAGCATTAATAAGTGGCAGGACTGAGGCAGTTTGATTCCAGGACCTACCTGTTTATCTACTATACTTCTCTGCCTTTTAAAATTTCTTCTCAGTCCCACCTTCCAAGCTTACCTCATCTCCAAGACTAGGCTTTGATCTCTCCTAAACTTGTTTTTCTAGTAATTTTCTCTGGCATATTATTCATGTACATAGTGTATGATTCAGGGAGTGGGGTGGCAGGGAGAAATCACCCTGCCTAAATGGTGAGCTCTCTTTTACTTTGTGCATTTTGTTCTTGTGCTCTTTTTTTGCTGCCTTCATTAGGATAAAAGGTTTCTCTCCAACTGCTTAATCAATTGCCTCTTTCCCATGGTAAAAACAGAAAGCCGGGTGAGAAATTTGAGTGATTCTGTTTATTTCTCAGATGGCTGTGATTGGCACAGGCAGAGAGCCTTGCATTTTGCTCTGCTTCCATTACCTACAGTGCCTGTACACTTGAGGTGAGACAAAATGCTCAAGATCAACTCCAACAGAATCTTGGTTGGGGGGTGGGGCGTGTATCTTGTAACGATAAAGATTCCTGGGCTCCGCTCCTGACTAATAGCACATATTAGCACACATATTAGCAACCTCCCCTTCAATGATTCTGGTGCATACCTGCTTGAAATCCACTGTCCTGGTTCCATCCCTAGAGAATTGGTGCAATGGTGTGCTGGTAAATGTTTGACAACCATCTCTCTAAAAGAAAGAAAATAATTCTAATCTGTAGCATTTGCCAATTTCCAGGTGTAAATATTCTCACCATGCTTTATTTCCAACTACATATGTGAAATCACTGAACTCAGAGTTGGGAAGACATGTGCACAGTTGGTTCTTGCAAGCCAGGATAAGCTGACATCTACACACTGGAACGGTGAATGTGAGAGGGTGTGAGTAGGAAGTTGGCAGTAAAATAGAGGCATTGAATGCAGCTAGTAGGTGACAGAGCTGGGATTTGAACTTAACTTTTCTCATTCCAAAGTCCATGCCTTTAACCCCTGCATTTTTCATGCATTTATGCATATTATAGCCAGTTTCAGGCTATATCATTTCCCTTTAGCTTTATCTGTAAAAATTATGTTCATTTTTCAAGGACCAGGTAAGTGGCAATTTCTTCCCCAAAGCCTCCCCTGTATCGTTTTTTCACTCCCAACAGATGTGTACTCTCACATCGCTATGGGATGGAGAGACACAACTATTGGAAGTGTGCACTTTAAGCAGAACCACTCTTCTTAAAATAGGGTAGCATGGTGCAGAAAAGCAGTGGGGCACAGTAAAGAGAGTATGGGTTTTGGATCTAGACATACAAAAACCCAAACCTCAGCTCTAATACTGATCAGCTGTATAGAGAGGAAATCACCTCTTTAAGCCTCAGTCTCCATGACTGTACAATGGGGATAAGAACAACCCTGCAGGATCACTGTAAAGATTAATAGTAATTTATGGGAAGTGCCAGGCACATATTAAATGCCCAATAACTGATGGCTATTATTTTTCCTGTGTTTGCCCTACACCAACAAATGCCATTCATGGCTTCACATCCTAACTTATTTGATATGAAAAGCACATCCTATAGCATAGATTTTACTTTATCAAACTTGAATACCATTTCTCCACTCACCCAACATGAAGGCAGCATTTGAGCTTGTCTTTGGTGACTCTCAGCCTCTCCCTGGCTTTGGTCAGGGCTACTAACCCATCCAGGAACTATGTCCTTAGTTGTCCTTTACCCAGCTAAGTTATAAATTGCAGACTTACCTGATATCCATTCGCCCCTCCTGCCTCATTTTTGTGGCTGTCAGGGCAGTGAGTAAGCAGAAGGGATAAAGTCAGGATTGATGTGGGGCTCATGTCCTATAGTACCAGTGTATCAAAACTCACTTCCCAGGCACTGCAGCCTTTTAAGTGGCAGCCAGTCTCTGTGGGCTGATGAAGCAATGAAGTGGTTGTCAAACAAACAGCTAATACCAACCCATGAACTCCGCCTTTGGTCTGCAGGCAGGAGAGAATCTGATGTGTCTGGAGTTCACAAGCCTCGGCCTGAATCCTCCAGGATGAAGATTGTAAGGCTGGTGTGCTGGAGAATATGCTATTCTACAGAACTCTCTGGTGTCTAAAATCTTTCTGGAATGATCTTCTTTAAGGCATTATTGAAGGCTGCTGCTCAAAGTGGGGCCATTATCTGCTATTGACACCTATGCAGAAATGAGTTTATCAGTTTAATCAGTCATCCAGAAAGGCAGAGTGAGATTCAGAAAAGTGAGGTTTAAAATTGTGACCAGAAGGGGATGATTGGGTTTCAAAACTGGGCAGGGTTACTTAAGGACTTGAATAATAGGGTGGGAGAAGAGGGAAAATATTGGGAGTGATGTGGCTTAGGAGACAAACTTTCTAGACCAGTGGTTGGCAAACTCATTAGTCAACAGAGCCAAATATCAACAGTACAACGATTGAAATTTCTTTTGAGAGCCAAATTTTTTAAACTTAAACTATATAGGTAGGTACATTGTTATTAACTTAATTAGGGTACTCCTAAGCTGGCCTTTGCTAAAAACGTCCTCAATCTGATTGAGGTACGTTCGCTGAGGTCGACCCCTTCCAACTCTCCCATCCTCAACTCTTGCATGAATCGCAAGCGCCTCCCCCGCGCTGAGTATCCCGGAGCCCGCCTGCGCCACCTCTCCCTTTGTACGACTGACCGACACCCCCCACTTCTTCTAACGCCACTTCTTCAAAATAGACCTGCCCAGGCCGAAAACCGACTTCTGCGCATGGGCCACGAAGTTTCAATCGCACTGTACGTGCGTGCTCGCACGAGGTATTTTGTGGAAGAGCCACACTCAAGGGGCCAAAGAGCCGCATATGGCTCGCGAACCATGGTTTGCTGACCACTGGTCTAGACGATGCCATCTTGCCTGAGGCTGATTCTGGGTCTCAGTTTCAGAGCAGTTTCTGAATTGCCAAGCTGCAAATTGTTGGCCTGCACAGAGCAACAATAGATAATGGTCTGACAATACTTGGGCATACTTGTACTTGCTGACAGCCCAGAGACTGGGAGGTTGCAGAGTTGTATTTCAAAGGACTTTTTCAATGCTCACTCTTTCTACCTGTGGATGCAGGGATCCTGGGGATATCACTGAGCCAGAACTAAGGATTTGAATAACACTGAGGGAAGTCAATGCTGACCCCATTTTTTAGAAGCCCTTTAGTTGAGGAGAGTGGTAGCTGGTGAGGGCAGGGACCCAGGATCATGATTGGCTTTAGTTTAACTTCTTCCTTAGACCCACAAATTCAAAGAACCATTTTCATTGTAGCACACTGAAGTCTGTGAGGGATGTGTTTTCTCTCCGTGTAATTCTAATTTTATCTCAACAAGATCTGATTAGTTAGGAATTATCTCAGAAAAAAATTCAAATCAATTTACTAAAACCAAGCAACCACACCCAGAGTCTTCCATCACTGACTTCATAATAAAGACAAAATGCTAGGCACCCAAACCCTCTCTATGAGATGAGTGAAGCTTGATATTTATGCCAAAAACCGTGTCTCCTCTAGGGGACATAAGTACCTCCACAAGCATTCAACATCATTAATCCTCGTTCAGCTTACTGATTATCTTGTCCTCTCCTATTGAGTCTCTGGAGGGATGATATTTTGCTTACTTTGTCCCTCCTATTGCAAGTGCTGAGCTGTTCAGTCCCAATAGCCCTATGCAGATAGGAACTACTATTATCCCCATTTTACTGCTGAGCAAACTGATGCACAGAGAGGCTAAACATCTTGCTCACAGTTGTAAGTGGTAGAAGTAGGCCTTTAAACCTAGTTTTCCCTGGCTCAAGAGTCAAATCTTTTGTTCTATTATATATATTACTGTGATAAGGGCTTTGGCTTAAATTATGTGATACAAAAAAAACCCCTATAAGGTAAGTATTGTTATTCCTTTTATTTTACACATGAGTAGACTGAGACTAGGAGGGGTTATGTGACTTGCCTGAGGTCATATAAAGAATCAGTGGAAGGGCCAGGAGTTGAACCCTGGTAGTCAGATTCCAGAGCATATATGCTTAACTGCTGTGTTCCACCACCTCCTTGAAAGCAATCTCTGATTATTACATGAGGATGAAAAGGCCAGTGAGATTATCAGTGACAACAAGACAGGGAAAAATAGAATAAGAAGCCCCTGTAGATGAGCTTGGGATTGGTAGGTATTGTAATTCAGGTGGACCAATGGAATTCCAGAAAGATTACAAGGAGCAGAAAGCAGGTAACTTAGGTTCAAGTACAGGTAATAAAGCCCAGAAATGTCAGCTAAGGCTGGTAATAGCATAGATACATTAAGTGAAGATATAGCAGTTATCTTCACAGAAGTCAGGAGATATGGGTCCTAGTTTGAGCCCTACCATCACCTCCCTGGAAATAGCAGGCAAGTTAGGTCTCTTTGGGTCTCAGTTTTCCATTAGTAAAATCCAAATTAGAGTCGCTACTCTGTATATCTTACAGAGTTACTGTGAAGATAAAAGAAAATAATAAACATCGAAGTGCTGTTCAAATGTTTTAATTTCTATTAAATTCACTTTTGGGGTAATTAGAACCATTTTCTATGTTTTCACATCATATAGGCATTGCCTGAGTTTATCTGACACTTGGTGATTAATGGACCCAAATGGATCCACATATTGTCTTTAGAAATATCTAGAAATGAGAGTCAACCACTATTCAACAGGTGTCTCCCTGGGATCTTACACTGAGTGACCTGGGCATTAGGCTGAACTGATATTCCATCATTTTTACTGTTGACTCATTTTTTAAATTGCTCATTTGATTAAGGGAGAGGATATTGGAGTGGGCTTTCCTAAATTTGACAGAAAATTTCCTCTTTCCTTTGTTCCTTGAGCTGTTTACTATAATTTTTCTTGCCTCCCCATCCAGGTTACAAATTTAATACCCTAACCTAGCCCCCAACTTTCCCCAGTACTTGAGGGTAACTGAGCTAAGACCCCAAATCCTTACCCTATTTTGGACCTAATTATCAGGAAAGGGAGATGGGGATATTATTACAGCCACCATCACCACTATTTACAAAGCAGTAGGAAGAAAAGTCAACTACTCATTTTAAAGTCTTCTGCTTCTTTGGGACAAAAAAGGTAGTAACTGTGTAGTAGTATTTAATCACCCCTTTGGACTCAGAAGCACATTAGTTTAGTTTGGTGGGCATAAAGGGGAGAAGAGGCTTCACTCCTACTTCCAATTGGTCATCTCTGTCACCCACCATTCATGAACCAGCCAACAGAGTGTGAACTCAGAAGGTCAGAGTGGGCATACTTGAGCATGTTACTGAGAGGAAAATAAAGAAAATAGCCAATATTCATCTCCTTCAAATTGGTTTGCTTATTCATCTTGTAGTTATAACCTGTATTTGGGGCTGTGGCTTTTTGATGCTGGAGAGAGCTCAGATGAATCTGAAACACATTGTTCTGGCCTAGAGTCAACTGACTTTGGAGCCAAGCCCTGTTATAGCTCTTGAGGCAAAGAGAGAATCTTCCACTCTCAATCTGGGCAAGACTGAGCTCCTCATCAGGAGTCAGCTATTTGTTACTGAAGGAGTAGCAGTTAAAGGAATGTTATTGGAATTTCTAAATCTTTCTATTATCTCTCTGCAATTTTGATTTTATTTATTAGATTTTTCTCAACAGTCAATG